CTAACACTCCTTGCTTTTTCTCCAGAGGTTTGCCAAAAGGAGATCAGGACTACGGACAGCGGCATGTCCCTGTCCGTGGTGCTGCCTAAAGCCTCTGCTTCTCACTCCTGGAGCGCCTTTTCTTTTCCTCTCCCTGCCCCCAACTCACCTCTGCCTATTCCACACTCCAGCAAGGAGGCTCAACAGGATATTTCTGTAAAGACCCAAAGATTGACAGAAAAGAAATACAACTAAACAGACAATTCACACCAGACATACTTTGTCAGAGATGACTGAGGAGGGAAGGGGCCGGACTTCCTTCTGGGCCATGTTAGCTGAGTCTGTCCCATGAGGGACCCCACAGGCTCTGTTCATCAGTTGTCCCGGCTCCAGACAGCACATCCACGATGAGGCAGTAAAATCCAGTGCTCACCAAAGGTGTGGGTTTGAGATACAGACTGCTTTTATCCAAATCCAAGTCCTTTTACTTATTCACTGTGAGCCTTTGTACACGTTATTAATCTCCCTAGGTTGCAATATCCTCAGCTGTAAAATGGAATAATAAAATCTAACCCATCTCAGATGGTGATATAAGGATTAAATGAGTGTATGATTATGGAGAGCTTAGGGTAGGGATTGGTACATGGTTGGGAACTACGGAGAGTCGGGGTAGTGATGACAACTGTGCTTGCATCCTAGGGCACAAGTGTGTCAGAGGCTGGTGACAAACTGAGCGGCCAGAGCACAGGGCACAGCTGAACTTCATGCAAGCTTCTGTGTTGTTTGCTCCCTGTTCACCCTCAGACCAGGCCCAGGACTCCACTGGAGCTTCTCAGAGACAGGCGGAGACCGCCTGCACCGCTGCAGGCAATAGTGCAACTGCCACTAAACTGCCAAACAAACAAAAATCCACTGACCTTGTTGGGCACTCAGTAGACCTCATACCATCAGAGTCCCCACGATCCTCTCCCCTTTGATTGAGAGAAGGTCTCATGCAGCCCAGACTGGCTTTTCACTTGCTGTGTTGCCGTGGATGACACCGATCTTCTGATCTTCTGCCTCCATTTCTCTGTGTCTGTGATTACAGGCTTGGGCTGCTGGGCTTGGTTTTCTGTGGTGTTAGAAACAGGACTGAACAAAAATGGTCAGCTGGTGCCACCTTCTCCCATGCTAACAGCTCAGCTTAAAAGGCCCTTAGCCAGCTGTGCACACAGCACTCCCTCTCTGCCATACCTTCCACAGCCACCTGGTACGTGCATGCATACACACTCATACACACAGAGAGATACACAGACACACACAGAGACACTCTCACACACTCCAGATAAATACCACACACACATACACAGATAGACACAGAGACACACAGATACCCACACAGACACACACAGAGACACTCTTACACACACTAGATAAATACCACAGAGAAAGAGAGAGACACTCGCACACACCAGATAAATATTACACACACACACAGACACAGACACACAGAGAGATACTCTCACACACTCCAGATAAATACCGCACACACACACAGAGACACACACACACAGATACCCACAAAGACACACACAGACAGAGACACTCACACACACCAGATGAATACCACACAGAGAAACACAACCACACAGACACAGACACAGACACACACACACACACACACACACACACAGAGCTTTGCATGTAAACAGACCTGAATTCGAGTCCTAGCTCTCTGACTTGGGCCTGTCATTTATCCTCCTGGTCCTCAGATTGCCCACCCATACATCAGAGGCCTCCATCTCTCATATCCGACATCCCTGGACCACCAGAGAGACCAGAACTCAGTAACTCAAGCATGTCCAGCCCCACTCTCTTGAGGGCAGTCAAGTAGCTAACAGGACAAATAGATCTAGAACTTCTAGAATACCTCAGGAGCCCATGCCCCTCCTTTTTCTGTCTTCTTTTTTCTCATAAGCTTTACCAGGACAAGTTGAGCCAGGATTTTTTGGGATGAAATCAAGGGGTTTCTGAAGCTCAAATCTAAATCTGTCCACTTGCCAATGTCCTAATCCCGTTAAGCCTTGGTGTTTCCAATGATAAAATGGGTGTGTGATTCCTCATCCTGGGCTCCTCTAGGAATGCAGAGCGGCGTGGGTCAAGGTAGCAGAAGGCGGAAACAGCACAGGGTCCATGGACCCAGAGGCAGGGAGCAAAGCCTGTCTGTCTGTGCAGGGGCTTGCACAGCTGAGGGAGAAAGGGACACGGAAGCACGGCCAATGTTGACAAAGCTGAAAAGCACTAAAACAATGTAAACACTCAGACACAAAAGGCCACGTGTGGTGTGACCGCAGTCACATGACACACCCAGGAAAGTAATCTGGGGAACAAGTCAGTGTAGACAGTGGTGCTGGGTGCACATCTGGTTGTCTACTAAGAAACTCTGCATTGTGACCGTAAAGGTGGCAATTTAATGCACATTAAGTTACATCTTTACAAAAGAGGGAGGAGGAGGAGGAAAAGACTGGTTGATAAGAGAGTGAGCACTGGTCAGAGTCCCGGAGAACAACCTAAGGTACCCCACGAGAGCGAGAGCCCAGGCTGCCACTCAGGCAAACATGTCTACAGGCCCGAGCCACCAGAGGGCCAGCTACCAGCCTAACTCAGGACCCTGTGGCCCTGCAAGCACCAGAGACAGCAGTGAGTTCAGGGCCTGAGAGTCACAGACTCACCCTGAGATGCTAATTGCACCACTGAGGATCCTGTGACCTTAGGTGTGTCCCTGAACCCTTGAGTCTCATTTTCCATGTTTTTGGTATGTGAGGGTGGACATTGCTCACTTTACCTCGTACTTAGGGAAATTGTGTAGGAGAGACGTGCTGACACACCTGTCCCAGAAGCCTCGGTGATCATGGGACAGAGCTAGTTCCGTTCATTCTCTCCACCCATCCTCCGGTACCAGCCAAGGATGAGAGTGGGCCGCCTCTCCAAGAAACACCCGAGTGACTTGGGCACTCAGCTTCTGGTATTTTCTGTGACTCCACAGCCTGAAATACAAGGCAGAGCTGAGTTCACAAGGAGTCAAACAGACAGAGAGATGCTTCTAGACAGGCAAGCAGACCAACAGCAGGACAATGGGCAGCTGAAAAAGAAAAGAAAAGAAAAGAAAAAAGAAAAGAAAAGAAAAAAAAAGAGAGAGAGGGACAGGCAGGCGAAGCCACTAAGATGTCTGCCTTTCCCTGTAGGGGTCTCCCACCCCCACCCTTGGTGACACCTTCAGACTCAGAGCACAGATTTATCTCTAAACACCGCCACAATTCCACTATTGGATCTGTAATCACGGACTCCAATGTTTGCAGGATAAATGCACTAACAAACTAATTGTTTGTTAGCGCTGAGGTTCCAGCAATCAACACGTCCGGTGTGAGATATGGTTCACTCGCCTGCTGGAGTCCAAGCCATTGCAAGGCTCCATGGCCTGGCACCATGGGTACCCCAAAGACCTCAGTTGGGGTGCTGACCCACTGTGCACACATGTGCATACTATCTGTGCAGGGGCAGTGGGGGCAGGAGGCTCCCCCCCCACACGCTGGCACGTAGTCACTGCTGCCCCTGTCTGAGCCTCGTCAGTAGCACACATAAACTAACTCAGTTCCTGGGGACCCAGAGGAACAGCAGGAACTGTTTGGTAGAGAATTATAGCTGTGGGTGAAATTAGATGTACTCTGAGCCCCAAGGCTGAGAGAAATAAAAAGCATTTTAAATGGAGTGTAGAATTCATATTCCTCAGTCACTTTCCAATAAATAAATCTTGTACCGTTTTTTTCTGTAAACAGTGGTTACATGCGGCTTCTATTGTCTCCATGTTCTCTGAGCCAATGGGCCAGGAGTAGCAGTGAAAGGCACATGGGCCAGGCGCTGGGGTGAGTGTAAAGAAACCAGGGCATCTCTGAAGCCTGGGCACCCCAAGATCTGGTGGCTTCTTGGGAGTCTCCCTCTTTAAGGAAGTATCAGGAGGACCCTGGGACCACCGCCCAGTCGTAGACACCCCTCAGAAATGCCCAAGCGGGATCTCCCAACCCCCAAACACATGTCTGGGGCTCCAGCATGACTCCATCTCTCTGGATTGCTCCCACCCTGAGAAACAAAGCATTCCATCGGAAGTGGCAGGGAAAGTCACCATTCACTGCGGCTCCTATTGTTTCTAGCTCCCCTTCTAACACCTCTGCTGCCTCTTGCAGAACTGACACCTCCTCCCACTAAAGATACAACAACAAAAAAACTACAGAGAATCCCAGAGAAGAATAGCCATCTCCCAATCTTATCACCCTGGAAAGAGATCGCTGCAGACATGTTGGTATTTTCCCTTCTGGATTCTGTTTTGGGGGGCGGGATACATACATCGATCGGTACACACACATTTCATGGAACAGAAATAATCTGCACCAACATGTGTCAGGTACTGTCGTGGAAATTTGAAATAGATGATGTCTGAATTTTACAACAAAAGAATTTGTGTAAATGCTTAATAGCGAGCTACGTCATTGGTCACCATGATATGAGCTCACATTTGGGGTCTCTTCATGGGTAGCTCTGAACATGCACAGTCTCATGTAGCTCCCTTCCCCGCGGCCCTGAGAAGACCTCACAACCGACCTTCAGGGAGGGGAGGGAACCTTCCAAGGTATTGAAGGACAAAGGCTGCAGAGTTTCTGTGTCACTTGTGGTGTGGCTCTGGGTGTGTTTACACTTCCTGCCCTGTGTCCCAAACCCAGCCCCCCCCCCCCCCCCCCCCCCCCCCCCCCCCCCCCCCCCCCCCCCCCCCCCCGTGCACAGTCCGGCCCTCTCCAGGCCAGGGCAGCTGGGTTCAGAGCCCCTCCTCCGAGCTCATCTCTTCTCCCTAAAGTCCTGGACACCACCTCAGTGTGTGTTTGCCAAGGACACACTCATCAGAGCGTGCCTGGACAGAACGCATGCTCTCCCCGATCCTCTCTGACAGGGTTCCCCCATGTAGACCAGTCTGGCCTGGAACACATCATCTCTTTTTTTTTTTTCACAAATAAGAGTTTATTTGTCACTATTAAAAATCTGTATTTCACACAGATTCCTGGACTGGTGGTTCATATCCATCAGCTCGTTCAACCTTAGCACCTGTCTCGTCACCAGTAGTCTTTCCAGAACTACCACCTTCACCATGGAGCTCCATGAGTTTTCCCAATTCAAACTTGGGTTTCTTCAGCATCTTTACTTTTCTAACGAAGACATCATGAAGAGGATAAATGGACTGGCAAGCCTTTTCTATGTCTTTCCCAATGCTGTCTGGAATCAGTTTATTAACCACTTCCTTCAAGTCATTTGTCTGCACCTCTCGGGTCATGATCTCCATCATCTTCTTCCGGATCTGGCGGACCTGCTGGTGCTGTGCATATGAGGTCTTGCGGATCTGGTTGTTGCGTTTTTTAGTGAAACCAACACAGAAGAGTCGGAGCAAATAACCATCGGTTGTCTTGACGTCAACGTGAGCTTCAATCATGGTCTGCCACTTTTTGACCATGGAACACATTTTGTCCCGGGTAAGATCCATGCCGTGGAAGTTAGTCAGACAGTTTTTGCCCTGAACATCCTCAGTGATTAGCTTGAATTTTCTAAATGCAACTTCATCGTTTTGGAGATCAGCAAGGCTCACTTCAAACACGCGACCCTTGAGGCCATCGGATGCAATTTACTTTCTTCTTGGCTCCCTTCTTGCCGCCTTTCGTCAGCCGCTTCACATCATCTCTTAAACTAAGAACAAGACCCTTTGGGGCTGTGAGGAGACCCAGTGAGGGAGCGCTTGCCTAGCATACAGTAGAGATTTTATATGAGTATCTCTCTGGGTTCCATTTCCAGCACTGCAAAGACAAAAAAAAGGAAGACACCCAAAAATATTTTCTATAATTAAAACTTGCAAATAAAATACACCAAGCAGTGAGATTAGCTAAAAAAACCCACCCCCAAAAAATATTAGAAAAAAGAAAACATAGCAAAGGATTCTGGGACAGGTTTCCCTAATTCTCCTCCCCTTGCCTTGCTTTTGTACCCATTTTACAGAATAACAGGTAAGCCAGGGTCAGTCCAGGAAAATATGGAAGGGAAGAAGCCACGCTTTGCAGGGCTCCTCAGCCCTGTTTCCTGGGTCTGAACACCCCCAGGGTCTCACAGACCCGAGAACCTAGTGTTTCTCCAGAGGGGTAAGGTGGGGTACAGACATGTTTTCTCTGAATACAAAGGTCCCATCACTGAGGGAGAGAGAGGAGAGGTTCCATATGCCACTCACTGCCCCAAACAACCCTCCAAGAGCCTTCACAACCATAGCAGTCCAAGAGGCATTGGAGGGGAGGATGCATGAGTTGATCCTGGGCTGGAAATGGAATCAGCCAGAGCAGAAGGACTGAGTCTTGGATTTGGGGTCCACAGGATCCTATCCCCAGGCTTCTGAGTGGCTCCTGAGAAACCTCAGGCCATCTTGCCCTCCCCAGACCTCAGCTTGCCTGTCTATGATGCAGGGACAATGAGGGTTACTCCTATGGGGCGAATGAGAACAGATCCAGTAATGATCCACTCCGTGTCCACAGTAGCAGCTAGCGTGGGGGTGGCCAGGCTTCCTTCTTCCAGGGCCCTTGATCATTTACTTTTTGGTTAATTAGATGATAAAATTTCATATCTGATTATGCCAGTCAGTGCCATTATGAGCTCCCATACAAATCACACAGGGAGCTAGGCTCCAGGACACCCCTTTATCTGCTCCTCAACAGAACCTTGGAGGGGCCCAGGAAGGGAGAGACTGTCCAGGAGAGTCCGCGTTTGATCTGACTCTCTTGACCCCAGTTTGATCCAGTGTCCTACACCATTAGAATTCCCAAATATAGCCCCCAGAAGGAGAACTCATTGCACACTATGGTGGCAGGCCCAACCTCCTTGCTCCATGCCGGAGACTGCAGAGCCTGAGTTGACTGTAGCTATCCACAGCCACACTGATAGACAAAGTAACAAGACAGAGGATGGTTTACCAGCCTTGCAGAGGCCCCCACAGTTGTTATGAAGGGCGTGAGAATGTAAACTCCATCACTTAGCTCTGAGGTCTGTACTCCAAAGCCTCTGCCCAGTTATTAGAAAGGAATGGGTTTGGGACTGGTCAGACTGGGGGTCTAACTGCAGGTCTAACATCCACGAGCCATGTGACCTTGAATCAAACTCTCACTCTTCGCGCCTCCACTCCGTATGGGGACAGCAACTCTGCCTGGAGTTGGGGCACCAGAGTTGGGCTTCTCTTCACTCTGAGCATGTGCTGAGACCCTAGTACAGGACAAGAGTGGGATGCTCAGGTTGGTGCAGCAGCATGTAGAGGCTAGGGGTCTCAAGGAACCATTGCTGACTGGGCCTGCAGAGTTCCTAGTTGATCCCAGATGGGCCCGGATGCCTCAGTCCCAGGGTCCAGGAAAGAAAGGACTCTGGAAAACCCCAGGGGACCACATCACCCCAGAGGTTCCTCGAATCTGGCCTTGAAGATCAACAGAAGGGGGCAAGTTCCCAGGGGAACAATGGGTACTTTCTCCCTTATGTAATGGGGACTCCAGGAGGTAGCTGGGACCATGTGCTGGTCCAGAGCTTCATCTCCCACCTCAGCACCCAGCCAGACAAGGACCTGGTGGGTGGGTGGAGGGATGGATGGATGGATGGATGGATGGATAGGTGGAGGGATGGATAGATGGGACAAATGGATGAATGTTAGACTAAATGATTGGATAAATAGATTGATGGATGGATGGATGGATGGATGGATGGATGGATGGATATGTGGAGGAATGGATGGATAGGTGGATGGATGGATGGATGGATGGGACAAATGGATGAATGTTAGACTAAATGATTGGGTAAATGGATAGACGGCATGAGCAAGCAAAAGATCACATTGAATGAGCCAATGATTAATGGCCCAAACCGGTAATCTCAGCATTCAGGAGGCAGAAGCAGGAGGATTATGGATGTGAGACCAGTGTTGGATACAAAGCAAAACTTAGTCTCAAAAGAACCCCACAGAAAACATTGACATTAGCAACAGAAGAACAAATGAGTAGAGAAACATATCGGGGTTGAGTCAATGAAGGAACAGTTAGATGAAATAAAAAATGTAAAAATTAGATGAGGAATAATGAATAACAGAAGGGACGGAGGAGGGGAGGGAGGAGGAGGAAGAGCCATGAAGATGAGAGGTGGGAAGACAGCAGGCCCAGCAGTCAAGTGTGTCTTGTCCCTGCGCCCTGTCCCCAGGTCCTGCCCTATGCTTGTACCCAGTACTCAGAGTGAAGCCTGAAGCCTCCGTGGCTGGCAGCAAGGAAAGTGGGCTGGGGAAGCCTCATCGCCCACCCAGCGAGTCTTTAACTATTACATTAAACATCTGCTTTGCCTTTCACGAAGGGGTAGTGTTTCACCCCTGAGATATCTGATTTTATTACCTTCCAGGGAGAGGGCCAGGCAAGTGTTCTCATTGATTTGCGCATTAAATATATTAGTAATAAAACAACATCTCCGTAAACCAATTGCAAAATCAATATTAATTGGTACCAAAATATCACAAGTAGTTGAATTACAATTAAGGGTGGTGGAGAGTCTTGCCTTGGGGCACAGGGTCTGGAAGTCCCAGAAGGGAGAGGGACTTGGGAGGAATCAGATTTCAGAGCCAGGCAAACCTGGGTTTTCCCTCTAAGCCTCAGTTTCCTAATCTGGAAAATGGGGTTAATTGTTCTCACAGAGGAAGTTTGGTGAGGAGTAAATGAGTCATGTGTTATTGGTACCTGGTAGCCGCAGAGTCCAGGGATGCTTCCTTTCTCACTTTGTCCTCATCCATCTATAAAGTGTAAGCCATTCTCACTGTGGAAAGAATATCATGGATCGAGTAGGGGTGGAAACAGCAGGAAAGAGGGTACTAGAGATAGCTCATCTCATGTATCTGTATTGTATGTGAGGGCTATAACCTCCCCGACTGGCATCTACAACAGAGCTTCCATCAGCTTCCTTTCCCCTTTCAGATGAGAATCTGAGAGGCGGCCTTCAAGGCTGGGGCTTGACCAGGAACCAAGAGCAAGGATGCCTGAGGGGGTGACAACAGCTCAGAGCAGCTGCACTGTGGAGAGGTTGGTGGGACCCTGCTGTCACATCTCGGGGCTGTAGGCTGCAGCATCTAGGCGGGCAGAGACTCTCTACTGGTTATTCACTTCTCTGTCTCCCACGGGTGTTGGGCTTTCCTTTGCCCTTCAGGGCTGACTACGATGGTCATACCAATTGCGCTTATGTTGATTAAGGACCTGGCTCAATCGTTCTGCAGGCTGTCCAGAAGTACTTCAGTCTTAAACCTCAACTTTGCGACTCTTCATGATAAATTATATTCATCAGCTACAGCCTATGGTACAGCTGTGTAACAAACCACCCTGAAGCTATGCGGTGACTGACAGTAAACTGACCGTTGCATACACAGGGCTGCAAGCTGCCTATGATTTGCTGATCTAGGCAAAGCTTTGCTTTGGGCTGAGGTCAGGTTCAAGGTAGCCTCATGGGTCTTTCATCATTCTGGGATAAGTGGCCGCCCAGGACAGCTTCCCATCAAGCCTGGGGAACCACACAGTGTAATGAGAGCCACTTCTCCGGTCAAGTCCACTAGCTGGCCAGAATGGTTTTACGGCCACGGTTGACATCACGGACTGGGGAAAATACCCTCTATCTTATGTGAGTGCGAGTTGAAACACCCAGTGGCCGCAGTGACCCTGGCCTCTGTCAGCCCGGAAGTGCAGGGGTTGCTCTCAGTGCAGGACGCCCACATCCAACCCTACAAGCTCCCACGTCTCTAGCGGCCGTGATGTCCTCTTCTTTTGGCTGTTCTCAGCGTACATCAGCCTCCCGGGATGGAGGAGGCCTAGGTCATGCTGTGGCCCCCTTGGTATTTGACAAGTCCACCTTGCTCGTCATGCACAATAGCTCCTCCTGAGGTTCTCAGTACAGCTGTGACCCGGAGTACTTCATGGTGCCTGGTACAGCTGTGGTACCTGGCTGAACCCGCAGCCACCACTGCTGCTGGTGTACTAAAGGAGATGAGGCTGGGAAGGCTTTGTCTGGGCAGGCCCAGAAAATGGTGACACTGCCATGGCTTCACTAAGTGTCAGATCTATTGTCTCCAAAATCTGCCCCAGAGAGCCAGGGTTTTCCAGAGACCAGTGTGGGGAGTGTGGCCCACGTTGCTTCACCAGGTGGTGGTCTCTGCAATGCTTGTCTTGTGCCTGCTTGTGCAAGCACACATGTACACACCTATGCACGTGGAAGTTTGTATTTACATGCCCAGCTGTGCACAACCTCATACTTGGGTTTGTGACTTGCTCACTCGGTGTATGTGTTCAAGCGTAGTCCAGGTGTATGCGTGTCTGTATCCATACCCAGATAGCCCTCACGTGTGTGTTCTACAACATGCACAGCTAACATACACCTTTCTTTCTGCTGGGGTTGCATGGGTACATGAGCTACGATGACACAGGGCAGACTAGACATCCATACCCACCAGCCTTGTCCTCTCCCGCTGTCCACAGCTGAGGTTTGAATGCCATGGCTCCCTCATGGTTACTATTTCCAGTGTATCGCTTTCTTTGAGACCCGCTGTCACCTTTTCTATGGTTCCCAGGTAGGCTTTACTTAAAA